ACCTATTCACTGACGCAGAAAACCACCAACTATCCACTGCGTATACAAAGGATATTTCCTTCTCTTCTCTTCCTGGTAGGCAGAACACCATAAATTGCATCTTGCAGCAAACTTAGTAATACATTGGACTCTTAAAGATTTAGTCTGTCTTCCATGTTTAAGAATTTTTCCTTGAGGCTAGAGCTTTGCAGTAAGAATATGGAAACATCGGTCCGCGTGAGGTTGAGCTTCTGTCCCCTGTCTCGGTCCGTTGGTCCCGGTGCAGCAGTCTCTATCCTGCGAGCGTGCTTGAAACCTGTGCTCTACCTTCCCAGTTCCTTCTCGTAGACTCTTAAACCGCCCGATGCAAACGTTGCTCTTGCTGCGCTAAGTGGACTTTTTCTTGTTAGATCGTCCCCTGCTGCTCAGTATTTTCGCTTCCCAGTGACGCCCTGGCCTGTCCTCAGAAGTAGGTGTTAGACCAAAGTCTGGAAGTGAGGCCTCGTGGGTCTTGCGGGCAGGCGTTCCCAGCCAGGGTCAGTGCAAGGGGAGGGAAATGCAGTGTTCATGGCCTCCTTAGGTGAGGCCTGTGCATCTGGCCAAGGCACGCGCTTCTTGGTGCTGGGTTTCACGCACATATTCCTGCCAGAACGTGGAAGGGTAGAAGGGAGAATTCCTGGAAGCTTTTAAATACCGGGTCGCATATGGGCTGATGCTTTTTGTAACCCTAGCCTAGCCTACAGTAAAACCCCTGGGTTGTTGAGTATCGCCAGCCAGGCTGCTGAAGGGCTGCCAGGACATCGTGTGCGCGGCAGTTACAGACCGAGTGAGCAGGCCCAAGAATGCTGTTGCGGGAAAAGGAGCAACTTGTGATCAGACTTGGCTTTGTCTGGTTTACCAGATGGGCTGAGTCTGCTGGGCTCTCTGTGCTCCGTGCTGTGGGCACAGAGCTGAGAACGCTTTCCTGCCATCCACCAGACAAGACTGCAACTGGGGTGAGGCGGGTCGATGAATCAAGCATAAGGAAGGCAGCGCCCTGAATAAGTAGGTAGTTACAAAGCAAGAACTTTGATGCAGATGATGAGTTAATGGAGCAGTGGAGGCCAAACTTCAGGGGAGAAGAGAGGAGGCCCCTTAAGAATCTAAGCTGAGTTGGGATTTTTCCTCATCAAGCAAAGCAACTGGTCTTTAAAAAACAAGTGCCAGCTCAACATCCTGTGAAAGGTTTCCTGTTGCACTTGGTACACAAATTTCACATGCTTACCCTGGCACCAAGGCCTGCATGGCTGGGCCCTGCCTACCTGCTCACCGGGCCCTGTCACAGCACCCTGCAGCCTCTGTTTCTGAAGCCCAGGCCTGTTACCTGTCCTGTCTACTGCTTGGTCACTTCACAGCCTGACCCCACTCTACCCCTTACACCATCTCACCTGTCCTTTTAGCTTCAAATTGTTTGCTCTGAGATTTTCTTCGAGTTCGGGTGCACTTATAACTTTCATCAGATCCTTTTTACAGAGTACTTACCAAAGTGTGTAAGATGCTGTTATTTGTGTTATTTTTTTAATCTGCCTGTCCTATTGTCACATCCTTTTCCCCTAAAGACTTGTAATGATTTATATCTATGTATTATATTTATCTGCCTGTTGTCAATGTTTACATCTGCTGGCCCCACCTGTGTTTGTGCCCTGGAGAACAGTGTGTCCCACGTACCCAGTGTTTAGTGTATTTCCTGACATGGACTCAGTAATTGTCATGGTCACTTGGGCTAGGGTCCATGCTGGGAGTTGTGGGGTGCAAGTGGGATGGAGTGGAATTGTGAGAGATCAGGCCGTGGCATTTCTTCCCAATTGTCCAGACAGAAGCCATTAGCCACATGTGGCTACCGAGCACGTGACATGTGGCTATGTTGATTACATAACCAAGTTTTAAATCTGTTTACTTATTTATTTTGTTTTTTTGAGACAGAATCTTGCTATGTAGCTCAGGTTGGCCTCGAACTCTAAATCTCCCTGCCTCAGCCTCCTGAATGTTTGGATTATAGGCATATGCCACCATGCCTGACCTAATTTCATTTAATTTTAATTACTTGTTGTAAAGAGTGTTTGGAACAAGTTGAATATATGAATCTGTTTTCAGCTATAGGTTTTATGTGATCTAAATATGGATTAAGTATTTCTGGTAAAAATTTCACATCCAAATTGTACTGTAAATGCACTAGATTTTGAGAACCTACACAAAAAACAAGTTTGACATTTCAGTTTTTCTGTTGAGTGCATGTCGAAATGGTAATATTTTGTACATATTGAGAAAATAAAATACATTGTTAGAATTAATTTTATTTATTCCAGGTATAGATTGCAAAAATTAAAAACAAAGACAGAAAGATACTTTTACACCAGTGTTTATGGCAGTATTATTCATAAGAGCCTTATTCACACCTTATCCACGTCACCTAAAGGTAACTGTGCAAAATTTTAAATAATTTTGTGCAAGAAACAAAGGTTAATGGTATGGAATTTTCCATTCATGGTATTGTGTTATTGTTCAAATATTTTTTGACCTAGGAGCATTTCTGATTTCAGATTTTCAGATAAAGAGATACTCATCCTGCATAGGCCATAAGGTGGACAAACTAAAAGCATTGTGAGAAAAATAAGCCAGATGCTGCAGGACATGTATTTTATGATTCCACTTAAGTGAGGTACCTAGAATAGCCAACTGCTTAGGAAATGAAAGAATAGTGGTACAGGACAGAAGTTATTGTGTAATGAGTACAACATTTCCATTTGATTTTTGTGTTCTTTTATTGTTTTGGTACCAGGATCGAACTCGGGTCCTTGTACTTGCGAGGCAGGCGGTGGAACCACTGAGCTAAATCCCTGGCCCCTCCATTTGGTTTCTGGAAATGGATATTCTAGTGGTGCATACTGTTGTGCATGTACTTAATGAAGTGAATTTTACACTTAAAATGGCAAATTTGTTGTGCATATTTACTGCAGTAAAAATTTAACTTAATTTCACACACACACACACACACACACACACACACACACGTTTAAAAAATGGGCTGGGGATGTAAGGCAGTGGTACAGTGCCTGCCTTGCAGCCACAAAGTCCTAAGTTTTATCCCCAGCACTCCCCCAGCCAAAATTTCACAAGCACATGAGTGGTGTGTGCTCAGTAAACATGCTGTCTACCACACAGAGACTTGGAAATTTGCCCTGTAGGTAATGGGGTCTATAGAAATGTGCATTAATACCAGGCTTCATAAAGCTGTCCAGGCCAGAGGAATAAGGAATATCCCACACCATGTCCACATGAAGTTACTTAAAAATAAAAAAGTACTGAGGCTGAAGATTTGCCCATCAAACTATATTTTAGTTACCTATGTATTTATTATCACATTTAAAAATTGACAGTTGGGTGAGTACTGTCGATCGTCAAATAAAGTTACAAATCCACAAAGAATCAGTAAGGAAATTAAAAGTATGACTTTCTCAATACATATCTGCTAGACAGTACCAAGTAGAATTAGAAACTGTTTGAGAAGATGAGTATATTTTTGTGATGAAGGTTTTCACTCAGGACTGTTGTGACATCAAGAAAGCTGCTTGAGGTGAGGTCATAAGAGCAGCTGCTAATGATGAACTGGTGAGTTTAGGATTTTGGGGCACAGTGGAAGCCTGGTGAGAGGGGAAGCCCTGTAAGATAGAATATGAAAAGGGCCTTCCTGGAGGTTTAAATGGCAACCTGCTAGAGATACTGTCTCCTCTGGGTAACGCAACCACTTGGCCATAAGCCCAGAGTGGTAGTCTCATTTGTTGTGGGATCAGATGAGCTAATGTGTGTGAAAGGTCCCTAATCTGACTGAGCTGAGAGGTGTGGAGCATATGTCAGGGAAGGTGAGGCACTAGCATGAGATTGGCTCAGTGTGTTCAAGTTGAGACTTCCTCCTGCACACTTTCTCTTCCTTAGAGAAACTGTGGCTTTGGGTCTTTTTCTCCCAGTGACATGTATTTTATCTTTTATGTAGAACTCTTTGAAGGATTGTCCATGACAACTGCCTGATATTTCAACTACAAAATCTCACTCCTCCAAAATGACACCATCATCTGCTTCAAGAACATTGCTCTTGGAGAATGTCCTCAAGTGTTCAGCGTTGTGTGCCTGTGAAGTATTTATCCACCCAGAAGCTAGGCAGGTACTGCCTCAAATTCAGGTATTGGCAGGGGGATTAGGGACAGGAGGCGTATGAAAAGGCCACTAGACAAGTGATGCAAGGCAAATTCAATTGTCCAACTTGCCTGATTCTGAAGGAAGCCATTTTGTGAGGTACGTGACACAGAAAGGTTACAGGGCTCATCTTGTGGGTTCTCTGGAGTTTGAGTCGGCCGGACACTAGACCTAGTTCTCATACATCCTCACAGCCATTTACCCAGTTCACAGTTTAGCCACTTTTACAGGTGTTGGCATCTGTCTCAGAGTAAAAAGTGGCCATTCCTGAGGCTGTCAGCCCTGTTCCAACCTGTTTGGAGCAACTTAGGCTTTTCTGGAATTAAAAGTACACTTGAGTTGGCTGAAACTTGCTGTGACCCTTGGACTGCAAGAAGAAATCACAAAAGTTGACTGGACAAAAATTGTTGTGTCCAGAATGAGTTTACTATGCAATGAAGCAGTGGTGGGGTCTTCTCTGTCTAAATGAAATTAGAAGCATAGTAGAACTGTTGAAAAGCTTGAATCAAGTAAGCTTTTATTTCTATGTATCTGCCATCTTTGTCCCTGGTTTTAGATTAGTTCTGTATACCTTACGTCCTTTTACATATCCCTCTCTCTCAGTCTGACCAGTGTAACAGTCAGCAAAACCCAGTCCTGTGACAACCCAGCTACGGTATTGTCGCTGGTCTGTGATGACAGAAGTATATATTTAGTTCTGTCTGAATTCCTTTATCCTACCTCTGGCTGGTCGAATAGTATTTACCTGTGGCTCCTCCTGTAGTAGCCTGTCATGGCCAGGACTTTGCATTGTGTTTCCAGATATTGCAAGTAATTGAGCTGCTAGAGTAAAATTTTCCATTGTGTCAGTTCTGAGAAGAAAGTTATTTCTGTACTCTGCTATATCTAAAGCATTGCATGCCTATTTATTATTGGCAAAGTAAGAAATTAGGCTTAGTTATCTGAAAATAATAAGAGAGCCTTCTCAATTGGTTTGACTTACCCTGATAAGATTCTTGCACCTGCAGGGCCCGTTTTAATGGGAAATGTGAGCATTACGTTTTCCAGGTAAATAAATGAAGCACAGGGAAGAAGAGCTCACCTGTTCGATGCTTTAATTGCCCAAGATTAACCACTAATACTTGGCTGCAAGTATGAGACTATTATGAATAACTATTTTATATATTAGGAAGCTTTTTGTTTTATTCCTTCTTATCTATAATGTCAAAGAAGACACTTCAGCTAATGATGTTAGGGAATTAAAATACACCAAAATGGGCCGGGGATTTAGCTCAGTGGCACGACGTGTGCCTCACAAGTGCAAGGTCCTCAGTTCGATCCCCAGAACCAAAGAAAGAAAGAAAGAAAGACCAAAACTTTTAATCTAAGAATATTTAGATAAATATTAGAGTTCTTTAATTTTTAGATTGGTTTTGGGAGAACTACAATTGTATTCTATATGAAATTATAAACTGTCATGACATGAACATTTCTGGGTTCTAAATTTTTTCCCGTTAAGTTTATTGTTACATTTAAAGCAAATAATACAGTTACATTTATTATTGGAATCTTGTACCTTTTTCTTTACATGATATATCTTGGTTCTTGTTTTTTCCCCATACCCCTGCCCTCCCTTTACCCCCTCCACTCTCCCCTATTTACAAAGACTTTATTTTTATTTTTTCATTTTTTTCACATTTTTCTTTTCCCTTATTTCCTTTCCCCTCCCTTTGCACTTTCCCTTTGGCTATTTTCTTCCTATTTCACATTCCCAATTATACCATTTAAACCTTATTTACACTTTTAGTTTTTCACACCAGAGAAACTATTCGGTATTTACTCAAGTGTGTCCTATTTATTTCACATAAGAGGATGGCTTCAATGTGCATCCATTTAGCTATAAATAACTCTAGTTTCTCATTCTTTGTGGCTGAGTAGTACTCCATTTTATAGAAAAACCACATCTTCTTTATCCAGTCTCTCATGATGGGCATTTGGGTTGTTTCTAAGCTTTAGCCATTACAAACTATGCCACTATAAACATGGGTGCACATATATCATGGTGGTATGATTCTTTTAATTTTTTTGGAAAGATACCCAGCAGAGGAATAGCTGGGTCAAATGGAACCTGTAATCCTGGTTCTTTGAGGTATCTCCATATTGGTTTCCACAGTGGTTGCACCAGTCTGCACTCCCACCAACAATGGAGAAGGGTTCCTTTCTCCCCACAACCCCACCAGCATTTGTTATTGGTTGATTTCTTGATAGCAGCCATTCTTTCTGGGGTGAGGTAGAATGTCAGTGTTGTTTTCATCTGTATCTCTCAAGTGATCAGTGATGTTGATCATTTATTAATATGTGTATTTGCTGCTTTTACTTGTTTGAGAAATGTCTTGTTAATTTCAGATGCCCATTTTTGAATTGGGTCTTTATATTGGGGGCTCTGATTTTTTTGAGTTATTTATATATTCTAGATAGTAGTCCTTTTTCTAAGGAGTAGCTAGTAAATATTTTTTTCCACATTGTGAGTTTTCTCTTAGCTCTATTGGTGATTTGTCTTGCACTGCAAAAACTTTTTATTGCAATGAGATCTCTGGGTTCTAAATTTGCTATAGCAGTTGCTTTATTTTTTTATGAGAGTGGTTAATTGTGACTCTGTATGTTTTACCCCCTTGCCTATTGACAAATCTAAGCTATTTTCCTAAGACTAAGCATATTCTCTAACATTAATTAAAAGGTCAGAAAATACGATTAGCTCTTTTCTTCTAAAGTGTGCAGAAAATCTGAAGTCTACATGTTGCTTGGTGTGAAGAATTCAAAATTTTAAATTTTCTACACAACAATATAGCACCGTAACTCCTGGTCCTCAAAATAAAAGGAAGGCAATAATTTACTTTAAATGTTTTAGATTAACTTTTGAAAAATCAAACTTGAAAATTCTGTCTTTCAGCTTTCTTGTCTGCTTGCAAATAGATCTTATATATAGCTGTGCAAATTTATTTTATGCTTTTTAACTTAATAGTCACTATACTATATTTCCATGTTGTCCCATATCCATTGCTTATTCCATTTGTGCTCTGAAAAAATTTAGGTCTTCCACCAAACCTACTGAGTAAACTCCCAAACCAACCAAGAACTAAGTTCTTCTGCTTTACCAGGATAAAGCCTGAGGTTTGAGGGCTGTAGGCCATCCCAGAGAGCCCTACTGCCGAAAACACAGGTTGGCACTTCCTGCTGTTGTAAATAACAATGCAACACATTTATATTTTATCTTTTTTGGGGATTCTTTCCCTATTTTTTGCTAGATTGTATTTCTTTCTGCATAAGAAGAACCACAATTTCTATATACTTTTCTTTATTCTTTTCTCTGATTAATCAACAAATATTTTCAATAACCTGATATTAGCTACATTTTAAGTTGTAGATATGAGACTGCCAACAGTGTCAGTTTAGGTAAGTTAACCAAAAAGATCAAGTTTTTATCCACTCTAATGGTTGGCTTACCCTGTTGGGGAAGAAAGTAGAGAGGGTTGACTGGTCTGCAGCCACCCATGCAGAGCTGAGGAGTAGAAATGGCATTAACTGATGTTGTGAATGTTCTTTCTACTTAGCTACTTCATGCCCGTTATCTAATGGGGTTCTCTTCATTCTTCGAGGAGGCTGTTCCCCTTGTGTTCATTTATGAGGAAGCCAGAGCCCAAGCTTGCTGAGCTAGTAGTTACCAGAATGTAGAGGACTCTGTGCCTCATACCATTCTTATTTACTGGGTATACCATTTTTTAAAATCTCTAAGAATCATTTTTTATTAGTTCTCATTTATTTCTGTTGGAAAATTAGGCCATTTCAGTCCCATCAGTTCAACTCAAAAACCAGGTAATAAGCAACAGTTATTTACACAAAGAGAGCATATTACCAGGGCCTCCAGGAATTCGCTTCTGGGAAATGTAAACCCTGTGTTTAAGCCTACATACTCTGAAACAGAAGAGGATTTTGAAACTTCTTCCTTTACAGTTGAAGAAACTAAACCCTGACGTTGAAAATTCCTCACTTGAACTATTGTACCTATTTCCATGCTGGTCCCCTGCTGTGCTGCAGGCTCCTCCAGGGCAGGAAGTGGCTTCCTTATGCCCGGCCAGGGACTGCCTGAGCACACAGGAGGTGCATCTTGACCTCATTCTTCCACAGTTTCTACTGTGTGGCAGACACTGTTCTAGGGATCAGGGAACAAAGCAGACAAAACTCGTACTTCTCCCAGAGTCAAAATGTATAGTGATTCATTTGTTTTCCAGGAGCTGGGTCTCTACCTGATCTATTTGTCAGGAGTAATATTGAACATGTCCCAGCTTCTCATTGAGTTCTTCTGTAGTTTTACTGCTAAATAGGTACGTGATTTCTAATAGCTGAAAAGCTATGTCCCTTCTGCCCCTATATAACTATATAAACAATATCAACATGGACTTCACATTGAGTTCTTGGAATTATAGGGAATGAAGCAAAGACACAATGTTGAAATTGTATAAAATGCTGGGGAGCTGGTGAATGACCATGGCCAGGGTATGGACCTTGTGGAAATATTCACTGGAAATAAGGTCAGAGAGTTGACTTGAGATCACACAGAGGGCCTTGTAGCTTTGGGTTTTGGGGGAAGAAAACAAACAAATTGTGTTTAGGAAGGTTAAGATGGCAGTTATAAGATGGGTCAAGATAAATTAGGAGGGTCTATGATGAAATAACAGACCTAGATAGCAAGGCAGTAGAACGACAGGAGGAAAAAGATATTCCAGATACAAACACAACAGAACCTGGTGGTCGGTGGAGTGAAGGAGAGAATTCTTAAAGGTGATAGAGGTTGTTGGTGACATTTATCATTAAAGTGCAATACAGTGAAGATACTTTTAATTGATGTATGTGAGTATACAGTGAATACATTTGGGACATTTTGTACCAGTTATTTTAAGGCAGCATAATTCATGTCATTTTTATCAATAA